CTGCCCAGGTTTGCCATCTGCTACTTCTATTTGCAGAGTTTAGACATTGAGGAGCAACACTCTTCATTTACCAGCTACAGGTAGGAGGGAAAAGCGGCTACAGTGCTGCTACCGTATCACCACATAGACATTTTTTTCCATTGCTGATTTCTCCTAACACTTTCCTGTGCACTTTTTTGATAGTGGAGCCATAAAGACCCAGGACCTTATGGCCTGTCTACATGGAGGACAATGCTGTATTTGTCAATGGCTGTAAATATGGATGCAACAATGAACAATTTAGACCTCATTTACATGGGACGTATTGCCCTGGACAGTGGGAAGGGCCAGTTGTAAATGCACCCGGAGCTGCAGGAAGAAGTGTGTGGGCAGTTCATGTAACTCTGTGGAGACGCAGAAGTTGTGCTCTCTCACAAGCTGCTTCCCGCAGCTCTGAGTTTTGACAGCTGCACATAGACGGTTTATGGAATGGATCCATAATGTCTGCATCTGGGGCTGTACACTGCCTTTGTGTGGCTGTCTAGACGCGTAGATGTGGAAGGCAGCATGTGAAGGCGCACAACTCCTGTGTCTCCATAGAGTTAAGATGTCCATACTCTGTAATATTTTCTTCATTCAACCTGCGGGCTGAACAAAGAAAATATTACAGATTCCTCCATCAACGCTTACGAGCATTGATGGAGGAACCTCCCGTTGTCTTCATTGTATTTTGACAGTGGCTGCCGCAGCTGATTGGTTGCCGGGTCTGTTCATTCGAAGATTTTCTGACCGGCTCCTTTGATCAGCTAATTGAGCAATGCCGGCCGAAGGGGTACCGACAGGATGGCAGCTGAAATTTGCCGGCATCGGGGGATGTGGGCCAAAATTTGCACAGCGTATGTCCACCTTTACATGAGCTGCCCATACGCTCAGGGCGCATCAACTAGCCCTTCACTCTATACGGGCAACACACCCTGTGTGAATGAGGCCTTACAGGTGTTATAGTTCCTGCTGAAAGCCTGGAATCAGGAGATATAAATATATATACACACACGCGTGTTTATTCAACACGTATGGCAAGGCAAAAAAAAAAGTTCATGTATTTCTGCCAGACATGCACATTTCCCATGTTTTATCCCTTTAAACTTGCTGCAAGTACGGACAAATAACTGCCAATATTATAGTATACTCCTACTTTCCTCTTTGACATGATAACACAGTTTTGAATTCCTAAGCACGTGGTATCAGCCCTGCCTACTTCATTTCCGATGGATTACAGAGACCTTGCCTTAGCTCCATAACTCTACCTTGTGCACAGGCGGAGAGCAGGAAGGAAGACATCAGCTGACAAGATCCAGGCAAATTCAACAAATATAACCATTGTTCGGGTTTACAAACACTTGAACTCCTCTTATTCTGCAATACGTATACCATTTCCACCTCCTGTATTCCAGAATCTTCACACAGCTGGAGTGCCATCTTTGCATACAGTACAACCTCCCAAAATGCAAAAGAGTTAAAGTAACTGTGACTTGTTAAGTAGGATTTATCGTTTTAATTATTCATCACTGAGATGAGAGCTTTTCCAAGCTGTCCAGTTAAGTGCACGGTAATTGAATATTACAGGGCATGAGTTTACAGTCTTTGCAAAGCTTGACACATTAAGCATAACAATGATGGAGCTGCAGAGGGGACAGATCGCCAGCTTTGGCTACATGTTTGTGGCTGTTTACCCCATAAGCTGACAGTTCTTATGACAACGAGGTACAGGGCTGTGCTTTATTGGTACCCCTAAAGTGACCCAAATTCATAGGATGCTCATTGCCCAATTTCAACAAGCTGGCACAACAATAACACAATCTATTAGCAGACCCGCATTCCCCACAAGGCCACCGAGGCCCGGCCTCGGGGTGGCAGGGCGCAGAGGGGCGGCAACGGTGTCCTTGTAGGGAAGTTCCGAGCGTCGGGCGGAAAGTTGCCCTCTCTACATTTAGTCCTGCTTTGCACAAGCAGGACTAAATGTAGAGTGATTGTTCGTTTACATGTGATCTCGGCAATG